GTGACAAACATACAAAAAGTAGAAGAAAATGGTGATAGTAAGGATTTGGAAAGAAAAGGCAGCAGTTGCCAGTAGCAGTTCAGGCACAGTTATGAGCATGACACCGATGAATCAGCCCTTTTACAATTTACAGTTCTACTCTGCATAAGAACATGGTTATTGTCCCCCCTTTAGGAACGGCCTGAAGACACTTCAACTTCAACTATGAAGAGCTGAATTCTACAACACTAACTTCAGTAACAGTTGTAATTAGTTTAATGAATTTGATAAATCTGTTTTCACCACCACATCTGCAATCTTGAAAAAAACAAAAAAAAACCCTCCCACAAAAAACTGTATTGGTTTAACGCCCCCTAGCAACGAAGAAGCGAGACCTTCGGATTTAACTCCCATTTCCTTTAGTTTTAGTAAGAGTTTTACGGCACTTGCAACTCAATAAGGTCATATAAGTGCCGAAGATTAGAGGTGCTACGAGAGAGTAACAAACACAAAAAAGGAGGGGAAATGAAAAATAAAGACGCTAGATGTTTGAAACAACTCCATTGCAACGGCCAACCAACCACTAACTCCCATCTCCGAAATGAACGAGCCAAATGGGGAAATCTGTACAAAGTGCCTTTCCCAAAGAAACAACTCTTCGATTGAGCTGAGGCTCGAAACCCTGAACCAGCAACCTCACGATGACGAGTCCAATACAGGACCAGCGGCTAGACGAAACCCGAATACCAACATAAAAGACGTTTTATTTTTTATTTTATTTAGTAGAGGTTTTACAGCGCTCGCAACTGCATAAGGTCATATGAGTGCAAAGCAGGGGTGGATGTCAACAGAGATGTCCTTACAAGGAATCATGCTTACTCTGCTCACCTCTTTAGCTTCAACAGTACAAAGTCTGCTTCGACTATCAAGGCACCCCGGAAATAGCAGGTCACAAGAGTGTGACAAACATACAAAAGAAGTAGAGGGAAATGGCGATAGTAAGGATTAGGAAAGAAAAAGCAAAAGTTTTCTGTTATAGTTCAGGCACAGTAATGAGCATGACATTTTTGAATCAGCCTATTTACAATTCTACTGTGCATAAGAACGAGAAATGC